TTAAAAAGCAATATAAATGTATTTAGTAAAATTGTTTAAATATTAATAAAAAATTTAAAAATAAAGTTTTTTTAAGCAAATTTGTATATTATTTTGTATTATTATTTTACATTTTTTATAATATATTATTAATATTATTAGAAGTATAGTTAATTTTTAATCTTATAAAAAATAAAGCATTTTTACCCGATTTTTCTTTCAATACATGACATGTTCGCTGTCTTTCTATATCATTTGGCCATATAATAAATTCACGTCGTAATTCTGCAATTTGTGAGATTGTTTCCAAAAAAATATGATGGCCAGTGCTTTTAGCTAAATTAAACCGATCTCCAGCGGCTAAAAAAGATTCTTGTTTCGCCAAGATCCAAATTGAAAAAAGAAGCTTTTTTTGAAATGGAACTTTATCTTCGACATTTCTCAAGTGTTGTAAATAAATCAATAGTGCCTACAAAAATTTTTTATTAAATCATGTGGCTATAAAATAAATAAAATAAACTAAATAAATAAAATAAAATATAAAATAAAATAAAACTTTTTTACCTGAAAAGTTTCTCTTGACATTCTAAAGTGTGCTTTGAAATCATCCATAGTGTAATTAAATATTATATTTTCATAATAATTTTGATTTCTTAATGGTATTTCATTTCGTGGTTGAACGTTAATAAATTCATTTAAAGGTTGGCCTATATAGTTAGCCGCAACACCCACTGCGTTAAAATCTATATCGTCTTCAAACAATTCTTCTAAAATAACATTAGCCAACATTTTTCTTTCGCAAGATTTATAAGACTTTAACAAAAGTTCTCTAACAAAAATTATAAGATATTAAGGTTATACCAAAGCATAGCGTTCAACAACGTCCGAGCTGCTATTTGTTAGCAGCATAGCATTCGCTCGGCGAGCAAGTTAGCCGCTTTGCCGTCTTGAACGCGCCCATTGATTCGCTGCGTAATCTGCGGTCCCTCTAATTACGGTAAAACGAACGTGCTGATAAGCCTTCTGGAGAATCCGCACGGCGTGCGATTCGAGAACGTGTACGTTTACTCGAAATCGTTGCATCAATCTAAATATCGATATCTGGAGAAATTATTAAAACCGATGCGGGATATCGGTTACTTCACGTATTCGAACTACGCCGACATCATCCCGCCTAGCGAGGCGTTGCCGAACTCGATATTCGTGTTCGACGATGTGGCCTGTGACAAACAGGACGTCATGAGGGAGTACTTCGCCACGGGGCATCACGCGAAGGTCGATTGCTTCTATCTGTGCCAATCGTACGCTAAGATATCCAAACATCTGATACGCGACAATGCGAATCTATTGATACTCTTTAAGCAGGACAGCACTAATCTGAAACACGTGCACAGCGACCACGTGAATACCGATATGCCGTACGAGGATTTTCACGCGCTGTGTCGCGCGTGTTGGAAATACCGATACGGTTTTCTAGTGATCGACAAAGATAGCGTGCTGCGCAACGGTAGATACAGGCGAGCGTTCAACGATTACGCCGTAGGGCATCGCGAGCGTCGTCGTCGTCGCAGTCGTCGTCGCCGAGGATGAGTCAGTCGTCCCGAGACGGAGGCGATCGTAGAGGGGAGAGAGAGATAAGAGAAGGCGAGATGTCGAGGAACGATGCGCGATGACGGACGTCGACAAACGCGAGAAAACCGCGATAGAGATAGCGAAAACGCGCGCGTCGATTCGCAAGAAGCACCGAGCGTTGAAGACCGAAAGAATGGAGAGCGATAGCGCTCTGGAGACGCGTTTCAAACCGATCGTCGAACCGTTGCGACGCATCGCCGGGCGCGTCGGAGACGATTCCGCGCGAAGCGCGAGCGCGAGAGAGAAGGAACCGGCGAAGAGCGAGATCGACGAGGCATGCGCGCGAGACGTCAAGAGAACAGCGGCGCCGGAGGAGGAGCAAGAGGAGGACGAGGAAGAGGCCGAGGAGAGCGCGTTACCGCCGCTGTCCGCGAAAGGATTCAAAGCTAAGCGATCTCGCCGTCTGGACGCGACGTCGGATTCGCGCACGGCGACTTCCACGTCCGTGGGAACGTTAGAGGTGTCTCTCGCGCGGCAGCGTGAATTCGCAAGCGGAGATCTCCTCGCGAAGCCGCTCGTCGAGGAGACGTTCGAGACGAGCGACGACGTCTTCGGATCGCCGGCGACGCTCGAAACGTCGGTGAGACGGTCTCTGTGGAATCCTCGAGGGCGAGATACCTTGCGCGATCTATTGGGTCCGTTGGCGCGAAAGTACGTGGGCGCTCTTCTCAGCGGCGGCGCGCCGAGCGATTTCGATCACGTTTACGGAGTCTACTTCGCCGACCCCGGCACTATGTTCGAAAACAAGCGATTCGACGTAGATGCCGATTACGCGATATTCGTGGACGGAGTCAGATATGCCGGTACTTCCGGTCTGTACGAAGAGAAGAGAATTCCCGACGATCTCAAGTACACGCGCGCGCAAGCTTCATTCGACGACGCGATGTCCGTGAGCAAGTTCGGAGTGTCGACGTAGAGAAGACGCGGTAGCGACGCGACGAGCGCTAGATTGCGCGCAAGCGTGGAATCTCTGCGAAATTACGCGATAACGCGGCCCGAGGAAATCGACGAGAAAACGGAGAGGCGAGTGCGCGCCTTGGAGAGATCTGTGTCGCACGTGAACAACGAAGCGATGAACAACGAGAGAAATCGCGCCGCGTTGAGTGGTCACGACAGGACGCTGCAGAAGTTGACGGCGAAGGCGCTGACTTCTAACGCAAAATTGCGAGAACTGGACGCCGAGGTATTGCCTCTGAGGAAAGACGCGAACGAACTCGCGAGGAGAACGGCCGCGACGACGACGACGGCGACGAAGGCGGCGGCGGCGGCGGCGGCGGCGGCGGCGGCGGCGGCGGCGGCGGCGGCTGCGATCCCTAAGACGATCGATCCTAATAAGATGGTTATGAAACTGGACGCTAAAACTCCTAATAAGCAACAGTCGAGGAGAGATCAGAAGAAAAAGAAAAGACGGCGAGATGAGCGCCGCGGAGACTCATGAACGAGCTGCACGCGCCCGCGAGAAAGAACTTCCCCCGCCGCCGCGTCGCGGTGCGCGGATACGACGATCTGTGGCAAGCGGATGTCGTCGAGATGCGTCCTTACGCCGGACGGAACAGAGGCCACAATTACATACTCACCGTCATCGACGCTCTGAGCAAGTACGCGTGGGCGGTACCGCTCAAGAGAAAGAACGGCGACGAGGTCGCTCGAGCCCTGTCGAGCGTGACGCGCGCCTCCGGACGTCGCCCGAGGAATCTGCAGACCGACAAAGGAAAGGAGTTCTACAACGACGAGGTGCGAAGATTCGTAGATAGACACGGAATCAATCACTACTCGACGTATTCGGTGCTGAAAGCATCGATCGTCGAGCGTTTCAATCGCACGCTCAAGAACTCGATGTGGAAGTACTTCACGCTGAACGGAACGTACAAGTGGCTCGACGCGCTACCGCGTCTAATATCCGAGTACAACGCTCGCAAGCATCGAACCATCGTGATGCGTCCGATCGACGTGACGCCCGCTCGAGCGTCGAGACTCCTGTCGACGGTATACAGCCACCCGAAGATCGCCGCTCCGGGAAAATTTCGACGGAACGATCCCGTGCGCGTGAGCAAGTACAAGACGCTGTTCGAGAAGGGATACACGCCGAATTGGACCGCGGAGATCTTCCGCGTAGCCGAGGTGCGAAGGACAAATCCCGCGACATATCTGCTGAAGGATTCGCGCGGCGAGCCGATAGCCGGAGGATTCTACGAGCACGAGTTGCAGCGAGTCTCCGATCCCGACGTGTATCTCATAGAGAGAGTGGGCCGGAAGGGCGATGCGGTTCTCGTGAAGTGGCTGGGAATGGACAGGTCGCATAATTCGTGGATAGACAAAGCCGACATATTGTGACAAACATACGTATATTTTCGCGCGATATTAGAGACGAAAAGATACATCGCGCGTATTGTAACGCGTCGCAACGAATATATATATTTGTAATATTAAAGATAAGAAAATACATCGCGCGTATTGTAACGCGTCGCAACGAACATATATATTGTATAACATTAAAGATAATAAAATACATTACGCATATCTGTAAAAATACGTCGCATAGCGCTTAAGATCCATCCGCGCCTCTCCTCACAGAGGTATCCTTTAGTGCCCCCACGGCAGAGTGTCGGTCGAATCTGGCACGACGTAACGCTTATCGTCGTACGGACTGAGCGCGACCTTCGACTCGCGCACGGTATACACCTCGTGTAACTTGGATTTCAGGCACGACTGCTCGCGAGTCATCTCGATCTCGCGTCTCAGGCAGCGCTCGTAATCGTCGAACGTTCTCGCGATGACGCTGCTCCTCATGCCCTTGCTCTTCTTAGTGTCGCCCCTACCCTCGACTCGCAACGCGTACATCTTCGCTCTGAGTCCGACGAAGCATAAGAACGCCGTTGTTCTCGTCCTTCATCAGACCGAGAACCTTCTTATTCGCGCGCGGCATGCCGTAAGGATCGTCGACGGCGTAATCGCTCATGTCGAATCTAACGATATCGCGCTTCATTCGCTCGTACACGTCCTCGCACTCGACGCTATAAACGAGACTGTTCGTGTCGGTGTACAATATTCTGCACTTATCGCCGTAGAGCGGTGACATGTAGTGAAACGCGTACAGACGAATCTTGGTTATATCGAGAATAGACATGCCGACGTAGATCAGTTTGTCGATCTTCGCCTTCAATTTGCGCAATTTCACGGCCATGAGATTCTCCGAGAATACGCTTCTACTGTGAAAATTCGGCTTGGAGATGAGCGCCTCGGCTCCGAATCGCCCGTCCCATCGAGTCGCGAGTCGAACGTCCACGCGATTGCGCACGTTCTCCATGGTCTTGCCAAAGACGGCTTTGTTCATCAACTTGTACAGATTCTTCTCGAAATCGTTACTTGCGTTAGTGCGTAAGCGCGTGTTAAGTTCCGCGTAACCACGGCGACTGCGAGAAGCGCAGCGCGCGATGAATCCTCGTCAGACGCAGACCGTGACGAACGCACTGCTGCAGATTGCGATAGTACGTGACGTATCGGCGCTTATCGTACAACGTGGCTAGGAGTTTGCTCTGTCGCTTCCCCGGCTTATCGCGCATGGAACAAAACGGTAGATCGGCGTGGGCGTCGTGCACGTCGGCCGGATAGTCGAGATCGACCTCGAGAAGGTAACCGACGGTCGAGTCCTCCGTCGCAGATATCACGTCGAGACTCTCGACCCATTCGAATCGCTCGTACGGCAATGGCTGACACATCGCCCAACCGTACAGATTGTTGATATCGAGATACATCAGATAGATCGACGGTCGCGACAGATCGTACGCACTCATGTACTTGTTGTTAGCGCGAGCGTATCTGTTAGAGCACTGACTCAGACCGCCGCGTATTCCGCGTTCCACGAACATCATCATATCGATATCGGTGAGCAGATCGAAACGGACCCCCGTGTACTTCAGCATCGCGTCCCACGTGTATCCCGGCAGCGTGAAGTAGTACGCGGGATCTAAACTCTCGTAACTCTCCAAGCAAGCGGAGCGAAAATTTTCGAACACGTCCGCGAGCAGAAGAACGTCGGTCTTCAGATAGAGATCGCTGTACTCGCCCAACGTTTCGACGCTAAATCGCTTCCAGACGCGCGTCCCGTGCGCGTAATCGCTCTCCGATACGGTATCGCCAGTCAGAGAACTGTAGAAGGACTCGCGCGGCGGGAGACGCATCTCCCGCAGTCTCTCGACACTGTCGACGTACTCGTACGAAAACACGCCCTTGCGCGTGAGAAGCCGGAAGTCGTCGCCGGAGAGATCGCGAAACTTGCCTCGCGTGATCGTCAGTTTGCTCTCGTCGAGATATGACGCCAGCTTATCGAGACCGGCGCCTAAAAACTTGAACGAGTCCACGAATCGTAATTTGACATATCTGGAACGCGCGGCGTTTCCCTCGTCTCCCTCCGCCGCCGCGGTATCTCGAACGGTCTTCGAGAAAGCTATGTACGATTCCTTCGTCACCGGCAACAACTCGACGCTGCCGGGATACGTGTTAGCCACATCCTTGATAATGAAGTGCGCGTCGTATTCCGATAGATTGTGAAAGAATACGGGTATAATGTAGGAGTCCTTGTAATTCAAATTGCACGCGGAATGCGCCGGACCTCTGAAACCGCCGGTCAAGTGACAGTGATCGCACACGCGAGCGTCATCGGCCTCGAACGGTCTCTCGCACGCGTAAAAGCGCGACGCGCTCGCGAATATCTCCCGCTCGTCCGGCGTCAGATCCGTCATCGGACCACGGTGTTGAGGACGACCTTCGCGCGAAGCGTCAGATCGCGCAACTCGCGCACGAACCACGCGACGCAATCCTCGCCGCGATAAGGTCCGTACACCGACGCGGCGTCGTCGAAGGAGCAGCACGTGTAATAAGGCACGCTGTGAACCCTGTGATGCTGAACGATCCTCGTATTCGCGGTTCTCCTGCCCTCGTCCCCCTCATTCCTCTCCAACGCGCACTCCAGATCGACGTACACTACGAACGGAACTCGCTCCTTTCTAGAATGATAATCGAACGCTAGCCATCCTTCGTCCTCGTCGGGAAGAACTATCGCGCAATCGTTCAGCTTGCCGCAATCCGCGCTGTGCGCCGACAGCTTCTCGTTCGTGCGAAAGTAATGCGTGCATCTGAGAAAATAAAGAATAAACGTTAGATCGATATTTCGCTCTCTCATCGAGATCGAACGTTCACCGATCGCACACGTGCGTCCTATGCTGCCGCTTGTTCAACTGCGAGCTGACCAGACGAGACAGATTTCAGATACAGGCGAAATGTCCGACCGCGTTACCCTCGCGCGTCGTATCGCTCAGATATAGCAGATTGACGTGTCTCTCCCTCTTTCGATCTGTCAGACGAAGAGGGACGATGCGAATTCCGCCGCCGCCGCCGCCGCCGCCGCTGCCGCCCTTCCTGCGTCATCTCTCTCCGACGGTGTACACGTTCACCGATATATCGCTCGAACCGTCCGATTCAGAGTCATAGGTAACTTCGAGCCCACCAGATTCAACACCGCGGAGTAATGCGGATATCGCGAGCTTCTCTCGCAGTGCTTATCAACGGGATACAGAGTGGCTACCACCGACCGCGCGAAACACGCCTCGTCGTCGGATCGCACGTTGACCACCGCTCTCTTCGTCTGAATCTCTCGCGGTACTCGCACGTAGCATCCCGCCCGCATGGGTACCTGTTCACGTTCACCATTAGATCGAGTATGCGCGAGGGCCCATCCGCTGTCTCTTGAAACTCCTCCAAAGACGCGACGGTATCGCCGACGACGCGAGTATCGTACCACTCGCACAGATCCGTCGCGGGTAGAAGGAGATGGTTTCTCGTGGCGATCGTCTTAACGGCGATCTTATCGCCCGATATGAATTCTCCGTTGAACACCGTGTTCACCTTAACGCTGCGAAATTGTCCTCCGTTGCGCACGTGGTGGAGCATGGTGTCTCTCGCGTCCTCGAGAAATCTCAAAGGATCGATGTAATCGATCCTCTGATCTCAGTGGATCGATGTAATCTCAGGGGATCGATGTAATCGATTTTCGATTTATCACCGCGCCGGTCAACACGCGCGTCTTGAAGGCTGTCTCGACCTCGGACCACGAGAATCCCTCGCGCAGCTCGACCCCGCCGCCATCGTCCTCGCGTTTCTCGACACCCGCGCCCTCGCGCTCGAAGCGTCGCCGTAGATCGTTCCTCGCGCCGATCATTCGCAGGATTCGAGCGACCAGAGAGGTCTTCGCCCCCGTAGAGTTTGGGCGACTCGCGTCTAGGCACCTCGCGCAGAGTCGCGAGACACTCCTTGCATCGTCGCGCCCACGCGCGATAATCGTCCGTCGTGGCGACGTCGCGCGCGGTCTCGATCACTCGGCGCTCCTTCTCGCGCATGATCGCGTCCTCTTCTCTTTCCCTACAGCGATTCGTCGTCGTCCTTACTCTCTCCCGCGCGGATCCTTATCCACAACGTCTCGCCCCGCGAATCCACCGGCAGCGAAAATCCGCGACTCGCGCGCCTTCGGCGCGTATCTCCGGCGTGGAATCTCGCCACTCTTCCGCTACACACCAGGACCGTTTCGATCCACAGCTCCTCGCGCGCGTCTCGAAGACCGATCGCTCTACTCGTTGAAGGGGGGTAGGTCGCGACGCTCCACGCGATCCTCTCCTTCAACACTCGGTCGTAGCGATCGATCGGAGGATCGACGTGCTCGTGCGCGGCGAACTCGTATCCGACATCTACGACGAGACGAAAAACACCGCCGCGCTCCACGTACTCTCCCGATACATCGCGCGCCTTTTTACAAACGGAAAGAAAAATATTCGAATTTAAATTCGTGCGACGCCTAAGACGATGGAAACGTCCAAGGTCGCTTATCGCTCTCTCCTCGGCGCGTCGAAACGACGCGAGCCGGCGGAGGCGCATATACAGGGTGGGCCATTTTAAGTGATCCACCCCAATAACTTTTTTATATTTGAATGTACAACAAAATGTTTCAAATAAAAGTTGCTTGACTTCGAGAGGGACAGAAGATGGGTGGCAAAAATTTGACCTTGGATAGTCATTTGAAAGTCACATAAAGATTACCTTCAATTTCTTAAATGGAACCCTCTATTTTTCATTGCATATTCTTGTAGCTTATCTCGGGAGCTTTCCAAAGCACTATAATTAAGTACCTTTTTATTAAGTACTTTTTGAGTTATAAGGCTTGAAATAATTTCTTAATTTTACATAAACCATAAAACATCTAGTAAACCATTCATTTTTCGATTATCTTACCTTGATACTTTTATGTATAAAATAATGAGAGGAATCAATTGGTGTAAAGAAAACACATAGAAGAAAAACAAATCAAAGAAGATGAAAATCAAAGAGATAACATTGTACAAGAAGCTAGAATGAAGGAGGATTACACTGCAGCAGTTTCTAATAATTCAGATGTATTACGTAGGCAAGCTGAAAAAGAACATGGAGATGTGAACAGAAATGAGGTTCGAAATGATAATTATGATAATAATTTTAATGAAAGTAATCATTCAAGTAATGATGTCGATGTCAGTGATAATGATACTCATTTCAATAATGATATTAGTGATGGATGTGATAATAAAGATTTAGGATCTATTGAATTTGCAAATTCAAATGAAAATTCAAATGATCAAATTAAACTTCATTTTGAGAATGAGAGAAAAAAGGAAGCTTATCTTACTAAAGTATTGCGTATTTGGGCCTTGGAGAGTGGTTTGCTTTCAATGCGAAAACTTGACTTGTTGTTAGTTAAATTGAAACCTTTGTTTCCTGACATTCATTTGTCATATAAGACTTTGCTTGACACTCCTTCAAACATTCAAATAATACAAATTAATGGAAGTCAACTTTGGTATAAAAGTATTACTGCAAATTTAAATTCCATGAATCTTGAGAATTATCTAAAACTTCATAAGAGAATTGACATTGATGTCAATTCAGATGGACTACCTCTTTTTAAAAGTTCCCGAGAACACTTCTGGCCTCTTCTTGGTAGACTTGTTGGTGTTAAAAATCAGTCCTTTGTCATTTTATTGATATTATTTAGAAGTGTAATTGTGCCTGATCTTCATCAATTTTTGTACTACTTTGTTAAGGAAATTCATAACTTGCAAGAGGATGGATATATGTTTAATGGTCAGAGATTTGAATTTTGCATTAAAAACTTCATCTGTGATGCTCCTCGCTTATTGATGAAAAGGATTGTAGAACATGGTGCATATTTTGCCTGTGAAAAGTGTACAGTAGAAAGTGAATGGGTAGATAACAGAATGACATATCCCAATTTTAGTAATCCTATTAGAACAGATGAATCATTTGCCAATCGGAACCAGCCAAATCATCATCGACATAATTCTCCACTTGAAGAACTTGGAATCGGTATGGTATCGCAATTTCCACTTGATGGAATGTGTTAAAAAATCATAAAAATTATCTCAATTCGATGAACCGCATAAGCTACAATCAGCAATTATAATTTCAAAATTCAAATCTAACGGGCATCGAAAACCTTTTCAAACCTTAGATTGATAAGAAAAACTCGAACGTTCAAGCTATCTTACATTTTTTCAACACCTAAAGAAACGCTTATCATGCTCGTTGACAATAACATTGTCAACCGTCGAAATCTAAGCAACATACGAGCATGCGCGCACATACGTCACGATCAGCTGATCGCCAATCAGCTGATCGAAAAAGATCGCGCGCATGACTATTGTAAAAATCCTAACTCCTGACCTCATCGGCAGCCAATAATGCCCTGAGGTCACCGATAAATTATAAAATTAATTGATCCACGGCGCAACGGGCCCAAAATTTCGCTCGATATACAGGGTGACCCATTTTAACTTAGGCAGCCAAATAACTCGAAAAATAAGCACACTACGAAAAAATGGTTAGAATCAAAATTTCGTCATTTCGAGGGGGACGTACAATGACGTTAAAATCAGCCCCCCCACCCCTCCCCCTGGGTGAGGGGGGGCAAGTTTGAAATCTTAAATGGAACCCCCTATTTTTCATTGCATATTCTTGTAGCTTATCTCGAGAGTTTTCCAAAACACTATAATTAAGTACCTTTTCATTAAGTACTTTTTGAGTTATAAGGCTTGAAATAATTTCTTAATTTTACATAAACCATAAAATATCTAGTAAACCATTCATTTTCAAAATGTTTCAAATAAAAGTTGCTTGACTTCGAGGGGGACAGAAGATGGGTGGCAAAAATTTGACCTTGGATAGTCATTTGAGGGTCACATAAAGGTTACTTTCAATTTCTTAAATGGAACCCCCTATTTTTCATTGCATATTCTTGTAGTTTATCTCGAGAGCTTTCCAAAACACTATAATTAAGTACCTTTTCATTAAGTACTTTTTGAGTTATAAGGCTTGAAATAATTTCTTAATTTTACATAAACCATAAAATATCTAGTAAACCATTCATTTTTCGATTATCTTACCTCCATACTTTTATGTACAAAATAATGAGAGGAATCAATTGGTGTAAAGAAAACATACAGTTGTTTTTAAGAAAAAATGTGGAATTGTTAATTGCAAATTACATATTTTTTCTTAGAAACAACTATGTGTTTTCTTTACACCAATTGATTCCTCTCATTATTTTGTACATAAAAGTATGAAGGTAAGATAATCGAAAAATGAATGGTTTACTAGATATTTTATGGTTTATGTAAAATTAAGAAATTATTTCAAGCCTTATAACTCAAAAAGTACTTAATAAAAAGGTACTTAATTATAGTGTTTTGGAAAGCTCTCGAGATAAGCTACAAGGATAGCAATGAAAAATAGGGGGTTCCATTTAAGAAGTTGAAGGTAATCTTTATGTGACCTTCAAATGACTATCCGAGGTCAAATCTAAGGTCACCGTCAGATTGCCCGGGAAAAATCCTACAACTTTTGTCTAGGTAATTTTCCTCTGTGATGCGTATTTTTCAAATTATCCAGCCGTCCCGGAACTTTTGACACACGCTGTATATATATATACAGGATGTCCTTCCATAGATGTCCGAGCAAATATCTCGCAATTGGTTGAAGTTACATAAAAGTGTAATAAGAGAAATTTGCACGGCTCTGAGTCAGCTACAAAATGCAAGTAAACATTTTTTTTTACTCGTGACCTTTTCGAGTTACGTAGGTCAACATAGTTTTTTTAAATGGATACCTATAATTTTTTTGCATATTTATATAGTAGGAGTCATTTGCAATCAAACTCGTATGTAGTAAAAAATTGTACTATGCATCGTTTACGAGATAATCGGCATCTTAAGTATTAAAGTAGTAAATTGGATTGTAAGTATTTTTGAACGTGGTTTGGAATGCCAAAGAGATTAAGAAAGTAAACAAACATTGTTTTTTCATGAAACATTTATTAACACATTAATTGCTCGAAAGTATTACCATCATGTTCGATGCAGCATTCAACGCGTTTTATAACGTTTTCCATTGTTGACTGCAACATTTCTGCTGTAATGCCTTCAACAGCTCTAGTGATCTTATATCGTAAATCTTCTTCATTTTCAGGAATAATTGCATAGACAATGTCCTTAATATATCCCCAAAGAAAAAAATCGCAAGGTGTCAAGTCCGGAGATCTCGGTGGCCATCGCATAGGACTATTAGTACCTATCCAACGATTAGGGAATCTATCATTTAAAAAGTTGACTACAGCACGTGTATTGTGCGCTGGAGCACCATCTTGTTGAAAAATAATGTCTCGAAAGATTAATAACGGAAGATCGCGTAAATATTCTGAGAAAGTAGTTTGCAAAAATTCCAAATATCTGTTCCCATTAAGATGACCATTGAAAAAGAAAGGTCCAATAATTTTCGTTCCGATGATTCCGCACCACACGTTCACTGAAAATCTGCGTTGAAAACCTCTATCTCTTGTCGCATGTGGATTCACATCGGACCAAGTTATGTCGGTTTTCCATACCACAATTTGAAAAACAAGATTCGTCAGACCATAATATTTTTTTAAGAAAATCAATGTCAATGCGATAGTTAACTCGAAGCCAATGGCAGAACATTAATCGACGATCTGCATCTCCTTCGTGTAAGAATTGCACTAGATTATCACGAAACGGTTTGTATTTGTATTTCTTTAATACAGCGTGCACGTAATTTTTTGATATTTCTAAATTACGTGCTACTGCTCTTATGGATGTACGTCTGTTTTCAATAAAACTTAATAGCACATTTGTCTCTTTTTCTTCATCTGTTCTGATTGAACGCTGCTGTCTTATTAGCGATCCTGTTTGACGTAATTGATTTTCAACTCGTCGAAATGTACGACTGTTTGGTATCCTTCGTTCTGGATATTTTTGTTCATAGAGTAACCGTGCTTCATTTTCATTACGTATACTTAAATGCCATATCTCGAGCATATCACACTTTTCAGTAATTGTAAAGATCGTTATTTTCGTCTACAATGTATGTATAACATACGTATTCATTGAAAATACGTAGACAACTGACTAACAGATTCACTGTACTAATTTATACTCCGTGCTATACAAATATTTTATTTACAAATCAAGTAGTCGTATTTTGACGAGTTGAAGATCATGTTCGACGTAACCGACTTCAAAATATTATGTAGTCTGAATCTTGTCGTTCAAATTGTGGTGTGGAAAACCAATTACTTTAATACATAAGATGCCGATTATCTCGTAAACAATGCATAGTAGCAATTTTTTACTACATATGATTTTGATTGCAATGACTCCTACTATATAAATATGCAAAAAAAATTATATGTATCCATTTAAAAAAACTATGTTGACCTACGTAACTCGAAAAGGTCACGAGTAAAAAAAAAATTTTACTTGCATTTTGTAGCTGACTCAGAGCCGTGCAAATTTCTCTTATTACACTTTCATGTAACTTCAACCAATTGCGAGATATGTGCTCGGACATCTATGGAAGGACACCCTATATATATATATATATATATATATATATATATATATATATATATATATATATATATACGAGGGTAGTTCGAAAAGTTCTCGGCCTGGCAAAGAAAACACATGATTTCCAGCAAAAATCTTTTTTATTTTTCAACATAGTCCCCTTTCAACTCAATACATTTAGACCAACGATGTTCTAATTTTTTTATACCCTCAGTATAATACGATTTGCTTAAGCCTCCAAAATAAGCATCCATCTCAGCGATGACCTCCGCATTTGACGTGAATTTTTTTCCAGCCAGCCATTTTTTCATATTCGGAAACAAAAAGAAGTCACTGGGAGCTAAATCTGGCGAGTATGGTGCGTGTGGTAACAATTCGGAACGCAATTCATGGAGCTTTGCAACTGCAATTGAAGACGTGTGAGCGGGTGCATTGTCGTGATGGAAAAGCACTTTTTTCTTTGCCAAATGAGGACGTTTGGTTTTAATAGCATCGTTCAATTGCTCCAGCAATGCTGCATAATATTCCCCATTGATGGTTTTGCCTTTTTCTAGATAATCTATGAACACCACACCTTGCGAATCCCAAAAAACAGTCGCCATGACTTTTCCGGCTGATGGAACTGTTTTTGCCTTCTTTGGAGCACTTCCACCCGCTTCCACCCATTGTTTTGATTGTTGTTTCGTCTCTGGCGTGTAATGGTGAATCCATGTTTCATCGACAGTGATAAATCGTCGCAGAAATTCGGTTGAATTGCGTTTAAACAAGTCCAAGCACTCTTGAGAAATGTTCGTTCGAATGCGTTTCTGATCGACCGTTAACAAACGCGGCACCCATCGCGCTGAGAGCTTTCTCATATGCAAATGTTCATGTAAGATATTGTGAACACGATCTATTGAGATGTTTGCAATGTTAGAAAGCTCACGCACTTTTACTCGTCGATCATTTAACACGCTATCGTGGATTTTTTGAATGATTTCCTCATTCGTGGCGGTTTTCGGGCGACCCGAACGTTCATCGTCAAAGATGGATGAACGGCCACGTTTAAATTCAGCAGCCCATTTCTTCACTGTTGAAAATGATGGAGAAGAGTCTCCCAAAGTGGAATCCAGCTCGTTTTTTATTTCTGTTGCCGTTAATCCTTTTAAAACGAAATATTTTATGACTGCGCGATATTCAATTTTATCCATTTTTGGAGAAGTATCAAATCTTGTCTGTTTTACTCGAGCACAGTAAACAAACTAGCGAACGAATCTGTCTGAAACTGTGCGGTACGCCCTCTGAGGGATTAAACTTGAGAAAAATCATAGCCATTTGATATTCTTAGCAACATCTCTATATTAGGCCGAGAACTTTTCGAACTACCCTCGTATATATATACATATGGGGATAGAGAGAAAGAGAGAGAAATTTATAAAATATTAATTATAAAATAAAAATATATAACTTTTTAAGTTTTAATTATATTTATTTATTTTATTTTAATGTGATTTAATTATCATATTATTTATTATCATATTTTTTTAATTTACAATGTTTCGTTAATAAGTGATACCACTTTGTCATTGTCCATTATTGTGATATGAGTACCTTCCACGTAATGTATTTGTACTGCACTTTCGGTAATCTAAAAATATTTTTTATATACATATAAAAATAATCTTAAAAATGACAAAATATTATGTCTCTCTAATCAAATTTACCTTATGTAGACCATAATCCTCTTCAGTAAAAGTGATAGGCATAAGTGTGGGTTTTAATAAGATTATAGATGATTTAAGACGTGGCAATGATGTTATATGATAATCTTGTATAGCGATTATATGATCGTAAAGCGTCGAACATAAAAATTTCTGATTTTCAACAGTTAATACATTGATAGCTTTCGAAAAGCGAGCAGTAAGTAATTCTAATTTCTCTTTCCACGTATTGCACTTATTTAGTTCTAATTCAAGCTGTGAATAATAATATTTTATTAGCACAACAAAATGATAATAACAAAATAATAATTTGCATTTTAAACATTTTAATTGTAAGATAAAATAATATTCCTGTATTATGTTATTTCATATAATATAAATTACAAAAAATAAAAGAACTTTAGAAAAAATCTTTATAATTTATATTATATAATAATATAATAAAATATTTAGTTTATATATTTAAATATATAATATTCTAACAAATTATTTCATAATTTTTCCTCTCATTCTAACTATATACTATATACTGTACTCATTTTAACTTTATAATATTCTATTAATATTCTATATATGTGTAAACACAATTAAATAAATAACTTTTGCAAAAAAAATCATTTATTTAATTAAGTCATAATATATTTTTAATAATTGATCAAAAATCATAATACAGTTGAATAATTGACTAACCATTTCATTGTTAGAGTCAAGATACAATTTTATTAGATATAGTAAAATGCTATTTTGTAGCTCTTGTTCTGTAGTATGATAAAAAAATTTCTCAAACAAAAACTTCATTTGATCAGGAGCTCCATCTATAAGAATTAAACGTCCGGAGAAATTTTTAGCTTCTAATAATCTCGCTAATTCGATGGCAATTAAAGATCCAAATGAATAACCAACAATTCGAAATTCTTTTTGACTTTGTATTTTCTCCAATACGTGCTAGAAAAATAAGCAAACATGTACGAAACTGTACGTAAAAATGACGCGCATGCATGCGCGTATGTATAATCAAATATATATAATCAAATAAATATCATTGTTTAAAGTTTAAATATACATCAATTGAAATAAAGATTTCAAATAGATTATATTATAATTTCGTACAGGCAGAAGATATGCTGCTGATTTCATTACTGAACGAGTAACATTTGGCATGTTAACTACACCGTGTTGCAAACATGTCGCTGAAGATTTAATTTTCGATCCTATCAGTTTATATACACTTGCAGAGCCATCGATTCCTGATATAAGGAATATTTCACTTCCAGCAACTTCCCTCTTTATAGCGAGTTTTATATAAATGTTTGGATTCAAGTCTGAATCGTTAAGCTTTCGAGTCAATATTTTTAAACCATCCATATCCTTTACATTAGCTTTGATGTCATTTCTTTGGTACAACTTTTCTTGTTCAGCTGTATTTGTCAATTTTCTAAGTTTTGCAAAAGTGAGATTTCGAATATCTTGTGCTGTCAATAAAATATCGAATTCTCTCTCCAATATCTGTTTAATCTCCACTGCCATCATTGAATCCATGCCTAGTTCAGCCAGTGGCATGTTTGGCGCCACTGTGTTTGGATTTTTCAATCCTATTTTACAAATTGGAGAAAGACTTAAATATTTACACATGTGATTTTAATCAGATCTTATCTAATTTTGAAACTATATAGCGATATAATTAATAAAATACAATTAATAAAATTTACATTTTTTAAAAATTTATTTTGATAAACGAATTTTTTATATAATACTTATGAACTCACCCATAATATTTGCAGCCACTTCAAATGGATTTCTTGCTTGGCCAGAATCTTTTTTTTTCTCAGCAACAACCATGCTGCTCATAATTGACCGATCTTGTAGTAAGAATGCTTCTAATGTGTCCAAGCAAGAGGATATTCCTTGTTGCAATGTACCACTAATAACAAGTTCTTTGTCGTCTTCTTGCATATCTGCAACAAGTCCAACATCACCGATCGCACCCCACTGTATAGCCAAACCATGTAAACCTTCGCTCATTCTTTTTTCACAAATTCTTTCCATTACGGAATTTGCCATTCCGTAATTTGTTTGGCCTGCATTACCTCTTCCGCATGAAACGGAAGAAAAAACGACAAAATGTCGAAGGTGGGGACAAATTGTTCTTGATAATTCGTCCATTCTTTTCGTCGTCCTTGCCTTTGACATAAAGGAATCTTCGAATGATTGTGGGGATTGATTCTTGAATATGTTATCTTTCAACACAACTGCTAGATTGAATATAGCATCCACGGGACCTTGTTCTTCGGCAAATTGCAATATAGATTTACAGTCTTCGTATTTCGAAGTATTAGCAGCTGTAATGATTTGTACATTCACACCATGAGATTGCCACAACGTTATTCTTGATTGCTGATAACCGTTTTTTATCCCAGTTCGCGAAGTCAATACTAGATTTTTTGCGCCACGTAAAATTAACCAATCAATTAATTCTAGACCGAAACCACCCAGACCACCTAGAACGATATAGCATTTGTGTTCTAGACAGTAATACCGGGGATGTGCAAGTATAGGTGCATCCAGTTCATCATCTTTTTGAACTTTTATTATTATCTGTAAATAAAATTATATTATATTTTGAAGTGTCAGGAAAAAATAAGAACATAGAAGACGAGAAGCTATTATAAAAAAATGAAGATATAACAGAAAATTATAAGAATGAGAATAAATTGTCAAACAAAATATAGTTGTACAATAAAAAAATAGAAAAAAATTTTTTAAAATTGATAAAAAACCTTTAAAAGAAGCAGAGTTTTTTCAAATGTATGTAAAGAGGAAAGAAGAATGGATCATTCTTGATAGAAATATTTAAAGTGGAAAAGTTTACGACATAAAACCCTAAACTTACGTTTAATATTAAGTTTTATTTAAGGAAAATAGAAGGATATTATGCATTTTTCACAGAAATAATATGCATTTTCTGAGAATTTAATATTTCAATTCTAATATTCATTATACGTATTCTAAGTTTCATTATACGTACTAAAAACAATCGTACCTTTCCAATATGCTTTCCAGCAGCCATATATCTAAAAGCAGTTTTTATTTCATCCTTTTCGAAAACTTTTCTACATAACGGTTTGATGGCGCCATTCTTTAAGTCTTCTGTGAACTTGTTCCATATTATTTCCTTATTCTTTGATTTTGTAGAAAATAATAACTTATCCAATAAAATGCCATGAAAACTAATGCCTTTTGAAAATGCAAATATTTTTAAAGGACTATTGGAAACCATATCAAACTTTCCAATCTCGAGAAAACGACCACCCTTTGCTAAGCAACGGACGGACGCTTGCAGTTTCTCTTCGGCTAAAGAATTCAATACAATATCCACTCCGTGACCTCTCGTTCCCTGAATAATCATTTCTTCGAAGCTCGTATCGCGAGAGTTTCCAATGTGATCCTCGGGAATAGAGGGAAATGTTTCTCTTATAAAGTGTCGTTTCTCGATAGATCCAACGGTCGTAAACACTTCACAACCCTTGTAAAGGGCAAGATAAATGGCAGCTTGACCAACACCTCCCGTACCAGAGTGAATCAACACTTTGTCGCCTTTTTTCATTTTACCGTTCAAAAACAAAGCATAATAGCACGTGCTATATGCACTAGGAACCGTCGCGGCGTCTTCCATCGTCCATTTGTCGGGTATGATCCAACTATGATATTTTTCAGCTATGTGAATATTTGTCATTCCTCTGAAAATAATATAACTTAGAAAAAAAATATAAAAATATTATATTAAAATAAAGTCGAAGAAACTTTTTTGTGAATAATATTTTAACAATAAAAAAAAGTATGTAAAATATAGCAATTTTTTTTATTTCTTACTTTATCAAAAACTTTTCTGATTTAAATATAAGAAATTTATATATTTTATATTGTTTATTTTTCAAAAATATATTCATACACATATTAAGATTCTATCAAGTTTTTATCACTCAATATTTTCTTACCCCATTGGACACAATCCCATTATTCTTTGCCCAATTTTATTAAAACCAACAAATTCCATTCCAATTAAAGAATTATTATTTCCCTCGGTTGTAATAGATTCGGTGAGTCTACCGCTAGCTATCATGATATCTTTAAAATTGATAGATGCATAGACTACTCTTACTAGATTTTCCTCATTACTGTTGACGAAAGATATCCTACTTTGCATCCAACAAAGAGTATTCAGATCACCTCGTACCTAAAAAAAAAATAAATATAACAAGTTTCCACTTAAAATTACAGTAAGATATAAACTTATTATTTAATTTATGAAGGAAAGTATCACTGTTCAGGATTCGCCATGCGACTCTAATTAAAAATTCACCCCCGGTCATACTGGCGCCATCCGTTTGCACGCAATCAAACTCGAAAATATGTAATGCCGTCCTTGTTTCGCGAAATCAGTCAGGATCCGTGTGATCGCGGATAAATACATGGTCCTGGCCAATCAGGCAATCGTAAAAATCACGCGATTTGACGAGACGAAACGGGATAGGCTCAATTTTGATCACCCGACTCGCGATCAAATCCTTATCATCGAGGAGAAAGCCTCTCTCCGCCTGAATCATTCACCGAGAGTCATTGTCTGAACATAGAGAGTCATTATCTGATCATCGAGAGTGTTAGATTATCAAAATGAAAGAAAGTCGTTAGAACGCGAGCACATATAACAAAAGTTGTGATCTCGAATAATCCGTGTCGGTTCGGAATTACGTGTGACTCATTACCGGTGCCGTCATGAACTCAAAGTCTGAGCGCGAGTGCCATGACACAATCAAGTGCCTCCACTCCAGTAAAGAGGAGGAGCCTCCGCTCCTTCGTGTGCTCATAAAGAGCGCTGTCCCGCTCGCTCTCGCGCGAACCGTGGAATAGTGCGGTCTCGCTCAATCTCACGGACAGCGGATCAAGCGCTGTCTCGCTCGCTTTCGCGAACCATTGGATATTGCGGTCTCGCTCCCATTCGCACGATTCTCGACGCGCTCAAAACACTCGAAATAGCGTCGTACACGCTTCGAACGCTTTTAGACATTGTAAATAGCGTGTATCATATTGCAATAAACTTATAGTCACTTGTGTGTGGATGTCACTGTGTGACAAATCAAAGAAGCAAGCACATCATTCAATCCTATCACTCATCTCTCGCGAAATCATGTGTTGGTCAAGCTTACGATACGCGAGCAACTTTTTAAAGTTGCGATCCCGAACAATCACAAATTATCACTACTTCAAATTTCTTAAATATCGAATCGTTTTGGAATCGTACCATTTGGGAAACATAAGCACTCTGTACGAGTTTTAATTTTAATAATGGTAATGGAAAATGTCTGTAGGATCCCCAAATGCCGGAACGTAGAACATTGATAGGTAAATCTAGCTGTAGTTGTCTCATGTATATCGATTCTCTCAATGAAAGAGTAGGTGCATCTCTATCTTAAATAAATACACTTCTAATTATTTCACCGCCTGGTTCTTTTTTTAAACAATTAACAAGGCCGAGTAAACCGCATTCGAAGTCTCCTTCTGCGACGACTATAATCCTCGTATTTGTATTGTCATTTTCTACGTTAATGAGTGATTTAATCTTATTTATCCATGAGAATTCGTAATTATTTACATGCACAATCTGCTGATTTATCTTAAAATCTTGTATTTTTCTTAATAATATAATTGTCTTATCGTTGGTGCGTTTTTCCAAAATTACTTTTAATCCATATTTGTCCAAACATGAATAATCGTAGATAGCATTTAACTCTTCCAATGTCAGAAGAAATCCTTTTGACATAATGCCAGATAACAATTGTTCGTATAAATCGTTTCTATTTTTTGTTAAAATTCCGAAACCCATGATCATCAAACAATTTTCATTTTTCAGATTATCAAATTCTATCGTAGAAATATTGTCAGGCAAAGGAATATCTTTGAATCGTTCATTGATCGCTACTTTGATATTGTAACAAATTTGCGGTAAGTCGTCTAAAATTTTATAAACATATAAAGAACTTAAATTCTCTGGCATCACTTGATCGCTTTTTTCGATAAATTCGATGATTTTTACATTTATCATATTGTGACATTCAAGTGCAATGTGTACCGACATTCTTATTGCATCTTGCAAAGATATCACATTTAGATCTCGATGAGCAACAAACTTGTATTCTTCAAAAACGGGATTGGCTACATTTTGTCGACGAGATATAACTGTAGCTATCACGCCGTGTATTTCTATTCCTCCAGATATCAAAACATCTAAGTGCTTATAATTTTGTACAAGGACTTCTGGGGATATAAAGACAATAGTATATCAAGTATATATCTTTCGTAAAATAATATTTGTTTAAATATTGTGTATATTTATGATAATATAAACTTACGTTTTTTTCCATTTGAAAGTTTTTCAATATGTTTTATGTGAGATTTTGGATCAATTATTACTTTAAGAATTCTTGTTGGTACAAAAAGGCTTCTCGAATTCTGCCCTAAAATCATCATCTGTAACATATTGTCTATAAATGTTACCCAATTATCAGTCCAGGCAATATGACCATTCTTTCCTATGATTGACGCGCTTCTTAATCCACGAAATTCGCCTGTATATTGATAACCACGAAGTTTTAATTCTTTGTAAATATCTTTTATATTCATTTCCTCTTTGTCATTGTCATTTCGATCAATAAATGCGCTACATATTTTCTCGTCTTCAATATTAAGTGGAGTTCGTACTGTTCCAGTGACGACAGCACTGTCTCCTTCGATTATTTCGAATTTGCAACTACCTATAAGAATACAATTATCAATTTCTTGTATGAATATTTAATTTACAAGCGGAAGTTTCTATTGCATGTTTCATAATGAGATTTTATATTATGTTTCATAACGGGAGGATGTTTTTAACGAAAAATAAATTCTAACTGGCCTTTAATCTTGGAAAAAAAGTAGTGAATACCAGTCACTATACAATTTGCAGTAAGTTAAATCCCCAAAAACTTACCTTTAAAAAAAAAGGTTAAAAAGAACGCCAAGTTTATGTACAAATTGTATCTAACTTGTCTTAGCTACAAAAACAGTGATATTGTATTAATATATATTATTTATATAACAAAAGAATAAAAAAAATTTAATTTAAAAAATGACGCAATTTTTACTCCCGACTGCTGCCAATCTACGGTTGGCAAAAAGACGGAGGGAGTATGCGTTTCACCGGAGTTCGGAATGATTGTGACAAGTATTCTCGATAACTATAACACAATTTGATATAATCCTTTGCATATTAATTTCTTATTAATCAAGGAAGGTATCAAACATGTAATTATCGTTATTTGTTTTATTAATAAAAAGCGGAAAAATAATATTATTTTATTTATAAAGAAAACACATAGTTGTTTCTAAGAAAAAATATGTAATTTGCAATTAACAATTCCATATTTTTTCTTAAAAACAACTGTATGTTTTCTTTACACCAATTGATTTCTCTCATTATTTTGTACATAAAAGTATTAAAGTAAAATAATCCAAAAATGAATTTTTTACTAGATATTTTATGGTTTATGTAAAATTAAGGAATTATTTCAAGCCTTATAACTCAAAAAGTACTTAATAAAAAGGTACTTAATTATAGTGTTTTGGAAAGCTCTCGAGATAAGCTACAAGAATATGTAATGAAAAATAGGGGGTTCCATTTAAGAAATTGAAGGTGACCTTTATGTGACCCTCAAATGACTATCCAAGGTCAAATTTTTGCCACCCATCTTCTGTCCCCCTCGAAGTCAAGCAACTTTTATTTGAAACATTTTGTTGTACATTCAAATATAAAAAAATTACTGGGGTGGATCACTTAAAATGGCCCACCCTGTATATACACATATATATCAAGAATCTCCTATTTTTCATTGCATATTCTTGTAGCTTATCTCGAGAGCTTTCCAAAACACTATAATTAAGTATCTTTTCATTAAGTACTTTTTGAGTTATAAGGCTTGAAATAATTTCTTAATTTTACATAAACCATAAAATATCTAGTAAACCATTCATTTTTCGATTGTCTTACCTTCATACTTTTATATACAAAATAATGAAAGGAATCAATTGGTGTAAAGAAAACATACAGTTGTCTTTAAGAAAAAATATGGAATTGTTAATTGCAAATTACATATTTTTTCTTAGAAACAACTGTGTTTTCTTTACACCAATTGATTCCTCTCATTATTTTGTACATAAAAGTATGAAGGTAAGATAATCGAAAAATGAATGGTTTACTAGATATTTTATGGTTTATGTAAAATTAAGAAATTATTTCAAGCCTTATAACTCAAAAAGTACTTAATGAAAAGGTACTTAATTATAGTGTTTTGGAAAGCTCTCGAGATAAGCTACAAGAATATGCAATGAAAAATAGGAAATTCCATTTAAGAAATTAAAGGTAACCTTTATGTGACCTTCAAATGACTATCCAAGGTCAAATTTTTGCCACCCATCTTCTGTCCCCCTCGAAGTCAAGCAATTTTTATTTGAAACATTTTGTTGTACATTCAAATATAAAAAAGTTATTGGAGTGGATCACTTAAAATGGCCCACCCTATATATATATATATATATATATATATATATATATATATATATATATATGTATATTTTATTATATTATATATATTTATATTTAGTTTGTAAAATAGATCTTTATTATTGCGCTCCAATTTTCATTCTTTACTGTCTCTTATTTGTCAATTTTTAATAAATATTTTAATAACTTATTATTTAACTTGCACCTCATTACTTATCACTACTCAAAATGTAGTTAATGACACATGTCACTAATGATATATGTCATTAATATCGTAAAGCATCGTAAGCTAGCGTAATCTTCTGTCGAAAGTAGCTCCAATTTTCATACCTTACTAGCTCTTATTTGCCAATTTTTAATAAATATTTTAATAATTTATTATTTAACTTACACTTTATTACTTATCACTACTCAAAATGTGGTTAATGACACATGTCACTAATGATGTTACACATGTCACATATGTCATTAATATCGTAAGCTAGCGTAATTTTCTGTCGAGATTAGGAAACGTACGTTTTCTTTTTTTATGTGTTATGTACATATGCGTTGATGACGATGAAAATAAAGACGTTTCTTAATTGAAAATTTTTATATTTCGATTTTGCGTTATGATATTTCCGATTATAGATCATGCAGCACAAAAATAAAGATACTTTCTTTATATTATTTGAACTCACTCTATCGACTAAGCCTAATAAGAATTCAATCTATTCAGCCGTTATTGGAATCTGATCTATCTGAATTATTCTCAACTGTCCGACTCGCGTATAGATACACGGAGTATCCCGCATGAACTTGGCGCAAGACACTATCGTATCTCTTGCTATATAAAATAAATAAAAATAAATAAAAATATATTTAAATAAATAAAAAAAAATTTTAATGAAAGTGTTCGCATAGCATTATTAATGATCAAATACGTTGTAGATCTGATATGCAGTTGCGTTAGAAATGCGACTTAGATATTTTGGGTAACCAATAGTTTTAATGAATTACAAAAAATTAATCTAGCTATGATATCTCTAAATTACAAGTTTTCGAGCATAGATTTTAGCAACATATTAATTAAAATAGCAAAAATAAAATTGAGATGTATAAATCAAACAAATTTACAATACATTTTTTAATGTAAATTGACAGAAGATTTCTTGTATATTATGTTTACCAAAAAAACCTGCCTTTCTCAGCAGAATACAAGCTTAATGCAGTACCAATATACTGAATTTTGCTGAAATTTTTGCTCTGCTACTACTTTATTGGCTAACTGTTAATAATTTATTTTTTTTTATTAGATACAAACTTTTCTTAATTAATTTTCTTCAACTGAAATTTTTCCCTTATTCATATTTTGTCTTAAAAAATTTTTATTCTTTTTATATCTAGAGGAAGTCACAATATTATTTTAATTATAAGTTACCTTTTTGGATCATAAGGGTTAAATCGACTGGATTTTGCTTTGACAGAACTGTAGAACGTAGGAAATTGACATCTTCAAATACAATTGGTATATCGAGATGATTTTGCTTTTTTAACCAGCCGATCATTTGCCATATCAGGAAAAGATATCCTGTAGCCGGTAATAAATTTCTTCCGTTAATGACATGCCCGGTCATATACATAAATTCTTCCTCTAATAAATTAATAGTAACAATTGTTTCTCCAATGTCAAGTTTTCTTTGTCCAAAATAATGGTATACATACCAATCTTTGGAATGATCCCATCTATAAAACGTGTTATTAATTTAACAATGTATAAAACATTAGCTTTATTATAATAGTGTTTAACATCATTAAAAATAATACAATTTAATTTTCTGTTTTTTTTTCTAAATTCGCTATATTTCTGTAGTAAACATAACATTGAAGAATCTTATGTCAGGTTAAACAAAATTTACCTTGCTAGATGAGAAATCATCGGTGTATTACGACTCACAGAAAACTTAATTTCCGGATATAAATTTGCGATTTGCAGCTGTAATCCTGCATTATAAAGTTTTCCAATTCCGTGTAAGAATATTTCAACGTTTGGTTTGTGAGAGAATTTGTATAACGCGACATTTGTCACAGTTGCCTTTAACGAATCGTTAAGAATATATTGTAGAATGTCGTGCGGCGCTATCTCAATCGTCACAGCATCGTTTGGAATAAAATGCATGGCTTCTGAAAATACTACCGGGGTTAACAGATTATTTGTATAATATTTTGCTAGATATGAGATATTTGGAAATGTGTTGAACCATTCACAAGATTCATTCAACACGTTCAACCACTTTGAGCTCGGAGAGGCTATCTGTGGCAATATCTGATTCAAGTATTCCAAAAGTTTAACTCTCACAGGCTCGACGTAACGACTATGAAAAGGTACATGTCCACAGAAAATTTCTTTTACAGAAATGTTGTCAGTCTAAACAAAAATTATTTTTTTTAAATAAACTTATTTAATTATTCAACATAATTATAAGCATATTATTAGACGCAGACATATTATTTATATTTTTTTCTTCAAACCTGTAGCTTAGTGAGGAATGCTTTCACAGAGCTTGTTGGTCCACTTACAATATAATTATGGGAACTATTATAACAAGCTACATCGATATCCGATGGACACAGATTCTTCATAGTTTTAAAATCTAAATTAATTTCAGCCATCAAGCCACCTATTATTTTTGATTCAGAAAATGCTAAACCGACATAATAAGCCAACATAATGGTTTCTTCGGCCATCAAACATCCATCGGCATATCCACAAACCAATTCCCCAATGGAATGACCCATTATAATATCAGGAGTGATACCAATGCTTATTAAAAGATCAACTATTCCGATCTATAATATATTTAATTTTTTTATACATTCTAACACTTTCCATTTTTTTTAAATAATGTAAAATATTACAAAGGGCATAACAGGATAAGTATACTGTATGCTGCCCCCGCACGAATCTCGTTGAGATTTTTACCATAAGTTAACAGTGATGTAAAAATAAATTTTGCAAAATATTACATCTGAGAAACATTGTGTATGGGAGTTATGGGAGTTAAATTGAAAATCGAAGAAACGAATTTTCTCTTCAATGAGTGAACCGATTTTGACGAAAAAAAATATGTTATGAAGTTTGATGGTACGATGTTTAAAAAAAATTATGAAAGTATTTTTTCCAAAAAAACCGGCTGAAAAAAATTTTCAAAATATTTTCGAATTTTTTTTATAGGATGTACTTGATATACTATTACCATTTTTTGCCAAAAAAATTTTCGACTCATCTAGTATAACAGATTTAATTTTCAAAACGATCGGATATCATAGTTAAAAAAATTGAACAGTTTGTATATGCCGCTGGACGTTGTACAATAAGCCACAACAAGAAAATAAATGAATATGGAAAACAAAACGATGGAAAGGAAACAATTGCAGATCGCAGTAATAGTTCAAGGCAAAACAAATGAATGCTGAGTGCTCTGTGTATCGTTACAGAGTTACCAGTTTGCAGATGCAACAGCACAGTTTTTATCCCCTCTACTCACGCATCAAAGCATGAGCGCTCAGGTTGAAATTCTCGGTACATGAGTGAAGGAGATAAAAATCAAACTGCTATATCTGCACTCTGGTAGCTGTGGCTTATTGTACAACGTCCAGCGGCACACACAAACTGTTCAATTTTTTTATGATATACCCTTCCGATCGTTTTGAAAATTAAATATTTTATACTAGATGAGTCGAAGATTTTTTTGGCAAAAAATGGTAGTAATATCTCAAATACATCCTATAAAAAAATTCGAAATTTTTTTTCAGCCGGTTTTTTTGAAAAAAATATTTTCATAATTTTTTTTAAACACCGTACCATCAAACTTCATAACATAATTTTTTTCGTCAAATTCACTCATTGAAGAGAAAATTCGTTTCTTCGATTTTCAATTTAACTTCCATAACTCCCATACAAAATGTTTCTCAGATATAATATTTTGCAAAATTTATTTTTACATTACTGTCAACTTATGGTAAAAGTCTCAACGAGATTTGTGCGGGGGTAGTATACATTATACTTATTCTGCTATGCCCTTTATCCTTCTTCATAACTAAGCCATATATATAATAACAACTAAGACGTATATATGAAAGGTTCTTTTCAATTTCTTTCACAAGAATTTTGAGCTTTTTATGAAATATTAATCTTTAAAGATACAATGTTTCATAAAAATTGGATAATACGAAATAGTTCCGTGATAGATACATGGATACATAGATAGTATATTTTATTTATACATATATATTCATACCTGTAATCCAATAAGACCTACAAATAAGTTGACTACGTTATCAAGAATATGTTTATCATTATTTATTAGAATATCTGTGACAAATATACCATAAGGTTTCAAAACAGTATTGCATTTCTGGATTGCTGTAGCGAATACTGGAAATTCCATTAAAGCTCGACCTGTACACACACATATATATATATATATATATATATATATATATATATAGGTATATATATATATATAGAAAACATACAGTTGTTTTTAAGAAAAAACATGGAATTGTTAATTGCAAATTACATATTTTTTCTTAGAAACAACTATGTGTTTTCTTTACACCAATTGAGTCCTCTCATTATTTTGTACATAAAAGTATCAAGATAAGATAATCGAAAAATGAATGGTTTACTAGATATTTTATGGTTTATGTAAAATTAAGAAATTATTTCAAACCTTATAACTCAAAAAGTACTTAATAAAACGGTACTTAATTATAGTGTTTTGGAAAGCTCTCGAGATAAGCTACAAGAATATGCAATGAAAAATAGGGGGTTCCATTTAAGAAATTGAAGGTAATCTTTATGTGACCTTCAAATGACTATCCAAGGTCAAATTTTTGTCACCCATCTTCTGTCCCCCTCGAAGTCAAGCAACTTTTATTTGAAACATTTTGTTGTACATTCAAATATAAAAAAGTTATTGGAATGGATCACTTAAAATGGCCCACCCTGTATATATATATATACAGGGTGTCCCATTTTAATGCCCCACCCCAAATAACTTTCTTATTTTTAATTTTAGAAAAAGATGTTTCAGACAAAAGTTGTATGGTTTCGAGGGGGACATAAGATGGTACCATTAATTTGATCTTGAAGAGTCACATGAAGGTTACGTGAAGATCATTTTCAATTTCTTAAATGGAACACCCTATATATTTTTGCATATTCTTGTAGCTTATCTCGAGAGCTTTCCAAAACACTATAAATAAACATTTTTTCATCAAGTACTTTTCGAATTATGAGGCTTGAAGTAATTTCCTAATTTTGCATAAACCATAAAATATCTTGTAAAATATTCATTTTTCGATTATCTTACCTTAATATTTTTATGTACAAAATAATGAAAGGAATCAATTGGTGTAAAGAAAACATACAGTTGTTTTTAAGAAAAAATATGGAATTGTTAATTGCAAATTACATATTTTTTTCTTAAAAACAACTGTATGTTTTCTTTGCACCAATGGATTTCTCTCATTATTTTGTACATAAAAGTATTAAGGTAAGATAATCAAAAAATGAATATTTTACAAGATATTTTATGGTTTATGTAAAATTAAGAAATTATTTCAAGCCTCATTACTCGAAACGTACTTGATGAAAAAATGTTTATTTATAGTGTTTTGGAAAGCTCTCGAGATAAGCTACAAGAATATGCAAAAATATATAGGGTGTTCCATTTAAGAAATTGAAAATGATCTTCACGTTACCTTCATGTGACTCTTCAAGATCAAATTAATGGTACCATCTTATGTCCCCCTCGAAACCATACAACTTTTGTCTGAAACATCTTTTTCTAAAATTAAAAATAAGAAAGTTATTTGGGGTGGGGCATTAAAATGGGACACCCTGTATATATATATATATATATACATATATAAGGTGAGCCATTTTAAATTACCTACCCCAATAACTTTTTTAAATTATCTACCCCAATAACTTTTTTATTTTTGAATGTACAACAAAATGTTTCAAATAAAAGTTGCTTGACTTCGAGGGGGCAGAAGATGGTGACAAAAATTTGACCTTGGATAATCATTTGAAGGTTATATAAAGCTCACCTTCAATTTCTTAAATGGAACCTACTATTTTTCATTGCATATTCTTGTAGCTTATCTCGAGAGCTTTCCAAAACACTATAATTAAGTACCTTTTTGTTAAGTACTTTTTGAATTATAAGGTTTGAAGTAATTTCTTAATTTTACATAAACCATAAAATATTTAGTAAAATATTCATTTTTCGATTATCTTACCTTAATACTTTTATATACAAAATAATAAGAGGAATCAATTGGTGTAAAAAAAAAAACATAGTTGTTTTTAAGAAAAAATATTTAATTTGCAATTAACAATTACATAATTTTTTTTTAAAACAACTATACGTTTTCTTTACATCAATTGATTCCTCTCATTATTTTGTACATAAAAGTATTAAGGCAAGATAATCGAAAAATGAATATTTTACTAGATATTTTTTGGTTTATGTAAAATTAAGAATTTATTTCAAATCTTATAACTCAAAAAGTACTTAACAGAAAGATACTTAATTCGAGTGTTTTGGAAAGCTCTCGAGATAAGCTACAAGAATATGCAATGAAAAATAGTAGGTTCCATTTAAGAAAGTGAAGGTGTAACCTTTTATGTGACCTTCAAATGACTATCCAAGGCAAATTTTTGCCACCATTTTCTGCCCCCCTCGAAATCAAGCAACTTTTATTTGAAACATTTTGTTGTACATTCAGAAATAAAGAAGTTATTGGGGTGGGTAACTTAAAATGACTCACCCCGTATATATACATGGTGTACCACCTAGAAGTGGCCACCCCCTTTTATCTTTTAAACTAAAAGAGATAGACCGTAACAAATATATATGAAATTAAATGGCTTTAACTGAACTTTATTATGAGCAGAGTGGTTGATTACAAAATTTATCTGTATTAAAGAACGGAGAGATATGTATAATTTTTTTATAATAATGTAGATATTTTGATATAATAAAAGTTGTAGCGCTTTTTGAAACGAATATAACGATGCATAATTTAATGTAAATATTTTACATATTATACGAGATTTTCCGGCTTGAAATGTCGCGGACGTCCACTAAGTAAGGGGTTTTTCCTAATTATTACTATTTTTCAAAATTGTTATTACATGACAATTATTTTTTTAGAAATTTTATTTATTTAAATAAGTCCCATATTTTTACGTTCGTGAGATATTAATTTCCATCTCCCAAAGAGTGAGTTTTTAAAATTATACGATAAATTAATCTCTCACACGTATGCACACACATACATATATAATCTTATTTCTTAAGGCATATTTGCACACTCGACAAGAGTAATCGACATGAGCGCTGCAAACGCGCCTTGAGGAACAAACTCACTTTACGTGTGTGCGTGCGAGCATATATACGTGAGTATGAACTTCGAAATGATGGAAAACAAAAAATGTCACTGATCTGCGATCATTATTTCTCGAGATTGACTGCACCAATCTTATTCAAACTAGTCGCAATCAAAAGTCTATACTCATATTATGTGATAAAAATGCCGTTAGATTTATGATTACAGCTTTAATTCTTGAGATATTTTAATCGAAAGTTTATAGGACTCAAAATTCCGGATAAAGTACTTGGTACGTCGTGTCGAGAATAGTGACTTTTAATGCTCGGATCCAATCTTTTATCGAGAACAATGACTCTCAATGCTCCGATCTATTTTTTATGTACTTGGCGTCGCGATGCTACCGCGTCGCTTGATATATACAAGGTGATTCAAAATAACTTTATTGTCCGTTTGAAAACCACTCGATTAAAGAAATAAACGAGCATATACGTTCATTCGTAGAATTAATTTTGCGTTGATCAAACGCTGATACCGCTCAGAGAGAACAAGAGATGAGCGACGGAAGATGTTGAAATTTGTTTGTTTTTTTGTTTTGAATTTAAATGAGGATTGAATTTTTGAACAACGGATAACTCGTTATTGTTACGACTAAAGGTGAACCATCGAGAATAAAGCAAGCAAGAAAAGGAGAGAGAATGGTAGGGAGGAAGCGAGAAGCGAATATTCGAGAACTAAAGTAAAGTCTTTTGAATTTAATGAGTTTTTTATTAAAACAAAAAAAGAGATCTTAATGTTCGGCCTCGCATTTAGTGCAGAAGTACTCACAGATGCGAACTATAATTAGACTGATAATAGATGGTCAAGATCAAACGTCGCGGATACCACTTGCGCTTGCAGTCAATGTCGCACGAATTAACGAATTCAAAGTGTTAAATTCGCACAATAATAAGTATAAAAAGCACCACTTTACTGCAGTGATTAATGCTGAACGCTACAGTCGTCAATTGAATGATTTAGCGGATAAAATTGAAGAAAAAAGGCCATTTAATTGAAGAAAAAAGAAAATTTTTATGGGCAAGCAGGGCGGAAAGTCAAGCATTTTGCTGTACAACAACGTTAGGCCGCACGTTACTCAGATCACTCGACAAACTATCATTAACTTACAAGGGGAGTGCACGACGTGCCTCTCACCGATTCAAACGAGGATTTTTTTATGTGTAGTACCTAATTAGAAACAAGTTCTGTTAAAGCGAGAGAACGCGCTTCTCAAGCATTCGTCTGAAAAAAAATGTTGAAGATTTGCCAGCATTTCTTAAGATGTTGCGATGAAGCATTATCAAAGCATCCCGGTGGCTCGGTTGGTAGCGCTCTTCTTTTGTAACCATGAGTTCCCTGGGTCGAATCTCGCCGTGTGTAACTATTTTTTTTTCTTTTATTTTTGTGTAATTTATTTTTTTTGTTCCTAGGAATATTTTATTACATTAATAAATAAATATTACAGTTTTTTTAATGATTGACATTTAATTTTTAACATTTTGTTCCATATATTAAAAGAAAATTCGAATGCTTTCTGTCAAAAATATAATATAAGGAAATGTTTAATATTATTACGAGAAATATATTACTACTAATAAAATAAATAAGTAAATAACAATTATCAATAATAACGCAGATATTTTGGTAATATTTTTAATTATTTTATTTTACAATTAATAAAGATATTTTAAATTTTCTAGCTCTAGAAATAAGAATATTTCTTAAGAGTTTTATATGTTAGAGCTATATTTTTATTATTATGCTCGGTCTCGGATTACTTTTCGTATACCTGACCTTGAGCAACAATAGTTACGAGTTTCGACTTTCCCCATAGGGGATCAGCCGTTTTGTTGAAGTAAGAGAAGGAAGGGTCGTATATGAGGAAACAGGCAAAGTGTCGGTTTTTAAAATAGTCGACCGTTAGTCACGACAGTACAAGGAAGACGTTATAGACAGTGCCGGACAGTACCGTGAAAATTTCGAAGATGGAATCAACATCTGATTCTTCGATAAAAAGCA